GTCCGATGCGGCCCGATGTTTGCATGGCGCTGTCGTGCACGCCGGCGAGGCCGATCCGATCGGATTTCGGCTTCGTGCCAGCGTTGTGGACGACGATTAATTGAGAGGAAACATGTTGCCGAACAAAAATCCAGATGTATAAAAAGAATTAAAGCATGCAAAAACAGGTTAGAAACATGTTTCGAACACTTTTCAGACATTTTAAGCACCTCCTTGCGTTCAGTGATAGGATTGTTAGGGTGTCCATTTGTCATGGCATCCGCAATGCTGGCGCGACCCGATCCGACTCCCATCAAGGGAGGAAAAACCACACCTGACAATTGGCGTTTACGAAACGGCCCAGAGCGTTTTCTAAACAGCCCTGCCCTGTTCGATTCCTTCCCTGGGTGCGTTTACTAAACGGCTTCGCGTGTCGGGGTGATCATTATGGGGGTGGATCTTCTGCCCTCTATCACGCTCCGATTCGATCCGAGTCTCCGACGATTCGACGCCGACTGGTCCGGCACCTGGCACCGCCTCGGGCTCGTGCGTTTTTTGTGTTTTATGTTTTCTTTTGCTGATGTGTACAATTATATATATGTATAACAAAAAACTCGGCGAGGACCACCGATGAAAACAACTGTGCTGTGGACGACGATCAATTCGAGAGGAAGCATGTTGCCAAATAATTTCAAGATGTCTAGAATATGGTTCAGACATATCTAAAACATGTAAAACACATTGTGGTCGTTTTCTAATTTTTTTTTGGCCGATCGGCGTGGGCCCTCGCACCCCCCCTCCCCCGCCCCCCCATGGAGTAGATCTTGGCTGTTTTTGGTGCTCGTTTCAAACTTTTGGAGTCTCCCCTCACAGGGACTCACTGTCGCAAACAGTCGCACTAAGCAGAGGTCTGGAGCCAGACCCCCCCTCCCCCCCCCTTTCCGCCCAATGTCGAAACGCCGAATCAAACAACGCTCACATGTCTTCAAACTTTTCTAGAGCACGTTTCAGACATCTTAAACACATGTTTTAAATCCCACGATAGGGTTGTTGGGGTGTCAATTGTCATGGCATCCACAAGGATATGCGCGCCGGTCGTTGAACGCAGGTCGTTTTTTGGACACGAAGATCCCAGTCTGCTTCAGGCGCCTTCCTGCCTCACGGGGTCCAGCGGCGTTCCCCCTGCCCTCCTCGTCAAGGGGGCGGGCGGAGACCCAGTCTGCTTCCAGCGCCGTCCTACGCTCGAGCAGGTGATCAAGAGGCCTCCTCCAGAAAAGCTGGGCCAGCGCTTCTTCGGCAACTGGCCGGAGAGCTGGCCCAGCTTCTTGAGGGCGCTCGCCCCTCCAGCGTGAGTGCGAACACGTGGCCCGGGCTTGTCTCAAAAGAACTTTCTCGGGAGGTGGCCCAGGCTTCTTAAATGATAGCGTTCTTGATCATTTTTCCAGCTGTATTTGTGAACATGCAGATCTGGCTCTGCTTTAGGCGCCTTCCTACTTCAAGAGTCTAGCGGTTTTCCCTCTTCCCTCCACGCCTTGATGCTTCATGCTTCTACCCACGTCTTCCGACCGACGGGTATGGACAGCCGCCCCATCAAAGGGCCTGCCCCTGGAAGGGGAAGATTCTGCAGGAGCAGGAGCAAGAGGAAAAGAGGAGGCGCAAGAGGAGGAGGAGGAGGAGGAGGAGGAGGAGGAGGAGGAGGAGGAAAAGGTTTAGGGCGTTCGTGGCCCTTTCTGCGACTCAGGAGGCCTCCGGAAGCCTCTGGTGCCCGCCAGAGGCATCCAGAGGGGCCGCTCTCTGGGGACCTCCACGAGTGCCCTCCCTCGGAACGCCCGGGGGCTCCCCGAGGAGGCCGCCCCGACCTCTGCGACCCGGGAGAGAATCGCGCCGTGGATGCCTTCGCTGTCCTCAAGATCTTTTTGTATACCACACCCCCCTCGCCCCACGTAGACTCCACCGCCCGAGTCCACCTCTTGTACACAAGATCACGCCCCAGAGAGGCCTCCCAGATGAGTCGGAGCAGATGGGGTCGGGGAATCGCGGCGCATCGTCGATGCATCACCGATGCATCAGCGACGCATCGGCGACGTCGGCGTGGAGAAATTCGGGCTCCACATCGAGCCGCACCGCATCGCCGATGCATCGGCGATGCGGCAGGCGCGATCCTCCGACCCCGTCTGCTCGGACCCCGTCTGGGAGGCCTGGAGTGAACGCCTTTGCTCTACAACTTTCGCACTCCAGGGGGGAGGGGGGCCGTCTCTGGGCTGAGGCGAAGCCAGGGAAAGGACAAAATCGGACACTTGATGAATCGGGAATCTCTGAGACCCGGCGGTTCTGAAGGATGCAGCGGGCGCCGCGGCCTTCCCAGAGCGGCCCAGAACGCTCCGAGAGCGTACCGCCACGCTCCCAAACTCGTCCAGTACACTCGAGGCGCTGAAGAAGGAACCCTTTTCGTTGGGGAGGATCCGTGCTCCTTACTTGTTCCCCATCTTGCCTTGGGTTTTCCGTAGGTCTTCGATGGGAAGTCGAAGTTGACCTTGTGGAAAAAAGGGGCCGCCTCCTCAGAGCGATGCGCCCCAGTCCGGGCCCCGCCCGATGGGCCCCGGGACTGCCAGAGCACTGCCCAGGATCAAAAAACATCAACAGCAGCATCAGCATCGAGATCCTCATCATCATCATCCTCCTCCTCTTCCTCTTCTTCCTCCTCCTCCTCCTCCTCCTCCTCCTCCTCCTCCTCCTCCTCCTCATCATCATCATCATCATCATCAGCATCATCATCATCACCATCTTCATCGCTACCAGCATCACCACCACCATCATCATCTGCATCATCATCAAAATCATCTTCACCATCACCATCATCATCATCATAATCATCATCATCATCATCATCATCATCATCATCATCATCATCATCATCATCATCATAATCAGAATCAGCATCATCATCATCATCATCATCATCATCATCATCATCATCATCATCATCATCATCGCTATCATCATCATCATCATCATCATCATCATCATCAGCATCATCATCATCATCGTCGTCGTCGTCGTCATCATCACCACCATCATAATCTTCATCAGTATCGTCATCATCAGCAGCATCAGCGTCATCGCCGTCATCACCATCATCAGCATCACCATGATCATCGTCATCGTCATCGTGATAGCCATCAGCATCATCAACAGCATCATCATCGCCATCTTCATCATCCTCATCCTCCTCATTATCATCATCAGCATCAGCATCACCGTCATCGTCGCCATTACCATCATCATCATTATCATCATCATGAGCATCATGATCCTAATCCTCATCCGCATCCTCATCCTCATCAGCATCCTCATCAGCTTCATCATCATCAGCATCAGCAGCATCATCACCATCAGCAGTATCATCATCGTCGTCGTCATCGTCATCATCACCTTTACCAACACCATCGTCATCATCATCATCATCATGATCACATAATCATGGTCATCATCACCATCGGCAGCATCAGACCCATCGTCCATCATCCTCATCATCATCATCAATATCGGCATCAGCATCAGCATCGCCAGCACCATCATGATGAGCAGGTGTCACCATCGCCAATTATCGCCATCGGCATCGTCATCATCGTCGTCATCACCATCGCCATGATCATCATTATCACCAGCATCACCATCATCACCACCATCATCATTATCACCATCATTATCATCAACATCATCATCATCAGCGTTAGCGAAAGCGTCAGCGTCAGCATCATCAGCATCATCGTCAGCGTCAGCGTCAGCATCAGCATCGTGGTCGTCATTACTGCCAGCATCTGCATCGGCATCGCCATCGCCATCGCCACCAAAAGCCCAGAACCCCGACAGATCGATTGCTTCTCCGCTCGGGGGCCCCAGGACTCGACACCCCGCCTCGGTGCCGCGCGCAGGGGGAGGGGGGGGGGGCGCGAGGGGGGCGCGAGGCTACGAAGGAGGGTCGGACGTTGCCCCGAGCCCCCTGGGAGGGGCCTGAGGTAGGCGGGCCAAAACATCAGGGATCGGGGGTCTTTTTGTTGCAGATGTCTCAGACGAAGACACCCAACTATGCTCGGGATAACCCTTCAAACCGAGGACCTGCGATAGGCCACGACTTGATTGATTTATGAGGTTCAGGGGCTGCATGGTGCTTATGATGCTTACAGCAATGGAAGGGTCGAAGACACGTGCATCCTTCGTGCCCCTTTCGGGCCCCAGGGGGCCCCGTCTGGGCCCCATCTAGGACCCCAGAAGTGCAACTCTCTTCGCCCCCTGCCCCGTCCTTACCGCCCCCGCTGACGCGAAGCCCGACGAGGGCCCTCTTGGCAAAGCCCGGCGACTCCTCACATGGCCTCTCAGAAGCCGCCTCCTCGGAGCCTCCTGCCTTCTGCGAAACCCCGCCCCCCCGCCTGCTCGGAAGGCCGCCCCGCCGTCCCTCCCCCCCCCAACAGCGACCCCGCGCCGCCGACCTACCCCCGGACTGGCGTTTGTCTGATCCCGCACTGCCACCAGAACCCGTCCGTCGTCGCCTACACCACGGCGAGAGCCCAACCCGATGGGCCGATTCGGCCAGGCTCGGCGGGATCACGAGATCTCGACCCCTCTCCAGCGAGCAGCCCTCTTCCCGAATCCACCCCCCGTGGCCGCGGAGCCCGAAAACGGCCCCCCGGGCGCGAACACGACGGAGGCGCACTGGGATTTGACAACTCGGCCCGACTGACATCTGGGAAGGCAGGCAAAAGGCGAGCAGAAAATGAAACACCAAAAACGTAGGGGGGGAAGCGAAGAAACGATCCATCTCACAAACGGAACAAGACATGCAACAACAGAAACGGCAACGGAAAGAGCAACGACAGCGAAACAACAAACCACGATCACACACACAAAACAGAAAACAAAACCAAACTAACAAGAGAAACAAACAAACAAACAAACAAACAAACAAACAAACAAACAAAAACACGCGGCTTAGAAACGAAGCGGCGACAGCGGGGTTCCTCCCTGAGGTACGCCAGGCGCCGCGCGCCGCACCTCGCCCGGGGAGCTTTGACAAGGGAGGGTCCTCCGTGTCCTCCTCCAGCATCCTCTCTGAGCGTCATCACCACCACCACCACCACCACCAACAACAACAACAACAACAACAACAGCAATAATTGTATGATTGTTCGCTCTGATCTGCGTGCGTGCCATTCAACATGTATGTTCCCGAACCCTCGATACCCACCCTCTTCGTCTTCGATCGTATCCCATTGGGGAATATATTTCTTACCTGCAACGTGTATGTCGTGCAACACCTAAGGCAGGGGAGAGAGGAGGATGGAGCACGATATATATATATATATATACATATATATATATATAGATATATATATATAAATAAATAATTACTCCGACGGAAGAACCCCACATAAGAATCCTCTGGGCGAATCTGGAAAAAGCCATCACCGTCGTCCTCGTGGTTGGTGAGGCGTCCTGGCTGTCTCTTCTGCGTATATTTCCTCTCGCCTTGGCGCGGGCCCCCCTTCCACTCCTTACGTTGTCCCCATCCTCGCCCCCCTGTTTGTTCCGCGCCCCGCCACCTCCTCCCCTTCCTGTTGCATGAGCGCGCATGTCGATGTTCCTCGGCGCCGTCGCCGCCACGGCCAGCACAGGCGCGTTCTCTACTGGTCACGTCGCGCAGCCGTTGGGACAACCCCGCGGGCCAGGCTGTCGGGACAACCCCGCGAGCCGCTGGCGCGCAAGACCAAGCCGTTGGGACAACCCCGCGGGCTTCGAGCGAGGCGCAGCCGCGCTCAGGCGGAAGGCAGCACGAAGCCCAGCTCTGCCGCGAGCTGCTTCGCCTCCGCCCTGGACAAAACCGCTCTCTTGTCGAACTCCAGGAGCGCCTTCCGCAGGGACGCCGGCGGCCCGCACTCCAGGAACTCTCGCGGCGGCGGCCGCAGGATCAGCATGTTCCGCATGCACGTGGCGCGGGAGAACATGACGTAGAGGTGCAGCCACCACTGCTCGTCCGACATGCCCGTGCGGCCAGCGTCCTCGTCTCTCGCGCAGTCGATGGTGACGCCCTTGCACAGCGTCTGGCCCTGCGACAGCGTGGAGGTCAGGTAGGACGCGCGCGTCAGGGCGAACCCCGAGCGGCGCACGCTGTGCGCCCCCGAGCTCTGCCATGTGAACTCCCTTTTCGCTGGGCCTGAACATCAGCAAGCTCCGCGCCCGCGCCTCGGCCCGGCCGTCGCCGTCGGCGCCTTCGGCGCCCTGTCGCAGCACCTCGGCGACCTCCTGGTAGATCGGAGACTCCTTGAAGCCGTGCACCTGCAGCCAGATTCCCTGCGGTAGGAAGCGGGGGCGAAAGAGCTGGCCTGCCCAGCACTCCTCGTAGCGCTGCTCGTCCTCGCGGTGGAACTCGAAGGACACGACGGTGGCCCGCTGCTCCTGCACGAGCCCCAACTTCTTCTTCAGCTCCTCCTGCGCTGCCGCGAACCGCACCTCCATGCCGACGTGGGCCGGCAAAACGCCGTGGATGTCCCCCGTCTTGTGCATGTTCGGGACGTTCAGGAGGCGCCGACCCGCGTCGGGCTCGCCCTGAATCGCGCCGCACTCGCCAACGGCCTGCAGGAAAACAAGGGGCGCGCCCAGACGCCGAGCGTCGCGACGAGCGCGCGTGTTAATCCACCTCGCCAGCGTCTCCCAGTATATGCCCATGCCGTAGCCGAGCCGAAAGTTCTCTCGCTGGTGCCGAGGGTCCAGGACGCCCTGGTCGTCCGCGGCCAACGTCTTCTCCCAGGCGGACCAGACCTCAGGTGGGAAGGGCTCGCCCTCGCGCATGCAGCCCAGGAACGTGATCAGAGGGCCCCCGGGCTCGAAGCGCTTCGTGCCCTTCAGCTCGAAGACGCGGGGGATCTGAGAGAAGACCTTGATGGCGTGCTGGATCTCCACCGTCGGCGGGTCCGCGTACCTGTACGACTCGTCGTCGTCCAGGCGCTCGTTCACGTCCGTCAGGAGGCCAATGCTGCCGGTGGGCTTCAGCTGCAGGAAATCGCCGAGGTGCAACACGATGGGCACGCGCCCGAAGTGGTGGTGTGGCCGCTGGTAGTTCGACTCCTGCACGTCGTGCGTGTCACTGCGTCCGTGGCAGGCGCGAAGGTCCAGCGCGTTGTACAGCACGGCTGCCACCATGCTTATCTCCTCGATGGCAAGAGCGCGGACGTGCTCCCACAACCACTTCAGCCTCTTCTGCATGCCCCACGGCCGCAGCTTCGCGTTGGTGTACTGAAGAAATCGCATGGCACAGGCATTGCGCAACGCTCTGGCTTTGACAGTCTCGGTGGAGATGTTCTTCGCCTGCGCGTTCGAGAAAGCCACGACCATCATGCTGGCCCTGTCCGGCGCCGGCGAGGGCCACACGTATTCCACCACTGGGAAGACGATCTTCTGCACGACGTGCGTCTTCCCCGAGCCGCCCTGGCCCAGCAGGAGCAAGTGCGTCACCTTTCTCTCGCTCCAGGGTTTCTTCTGCACGTCGTCCTCCCAGGCTTCGTCGCAGGCCTTGGCGAACTTGGCGACGAAGAGCGTCTGGTCCTGCGTGAGTCTCTGGTCCCAGGCGAAAGGCATTCGGAACTCAAAGTTGCGAGGATGTCCCCGGGGCATTCACTTCACTTCACTTCACTTCAGGGCATTTCGGAACTCAAAGTTGCGAGGATGTCTCAAGCGAAAGCGGCCGGGCCACCATGGGGCACGGCACTTCCGAGATCAGAGTTGCGAGGATATCACAAGCGAAAGCTGCCTGAACACCTCACCCCAGGGCGTGTCGGAACCCAGAGTCCGAACACGAAAATTGAAAAAAAAAGGCATAGTTTCCTGCTTCAAAAGCACGAATGTAGATCGAACTGTGAAGCGTCTCAATGGATACGTGCCAGAGCACGACCCAGAGGAAGCGCACGGGAGTGCGTCCCAGTGGATACGTGCCAAAACACGACCCAGAGGAAGCGCACGGGAGTGCGTCCCAGTGGATACGTGCCAAAACACGACCCAGAGGAAGCGCACAGAGTGCGTCCCAGTGGATACGTGCCGGAACACGACCCAGAGGAAGCGCACAGGAGTGCGTCCCAGTGGATACGTGCGGGGGCACGACCCAGAGGAAGCGCACAGGGGTGCGTCCCAGTGGATACGTGCCGAACACGACCCAGAGGAAACGCACAGGGTGCGTCCCAGTGGATACGTGCGGGGGCACGACCCAGAGGAAGCGCACAGGGGTGCGTCCCAGTGGATACGTGCCGGGCCACGACCCAGAGGAAGCGCACAAGAGTGCGTCCCAGTGGATACGCGCGGGGGCACGACCCAGAGGAAGCGCACGGGAGCGCGTCCCAGTGGATACGTGCCGGGGCACGACCCAGAGGAAGCGCACGGGAGTGCGTCCCAGTGGATACGTGCCGGAGCACGACCCAAAGGAAGTGCACAGGGGTGCGTCCCAGTGGATACGTGCCAGGGGCACGACCCAGAGGAAGCGCACAAGGGTGCGTCCCAGTGGATACGTGCGGGGGCACGACCCTGAGGAAGCGCACAGGGGTGCGTCCCAGTGGATGCGTGCCGGGAATAGCGTTCTGGGAACACGACGAACACGAAGTGGCCTACAGTTGGCTCCTCGCAATTCACTCAGAGACGAGGCTCCCGCCTGAGACTTCCTCCAAATTCAGGCCTGAGGAGCCCAAAAACTTCATTGTTGCGTCCAAAATGTGGCCTGGGAACTGCGTTGTGGCAGCGCGAGAACCCAAAATTGACGACAGTTACAGGGTTACGATGACCCGCTCGGATTACCAACATTATCTGCGGGCCCCATAAGGAGGGGGCTCCCGCCTGAGACTTCCTCCCAATTCACTCACAGACGAGGCTCCCGCCTGAGACTTCCTCCATATTCAGGCTTGAGGAGCCCAAAAGTGACGACAGTTACAAGTTTGGATGACCCGCTCGGATTACCAACATTATCTGCGGGCCCCATAGGGGGGGGCTCCCGCCTGAGACTTCCTCACAATTCACTCAGAGACGAGGCTCCCGCCTGAGACTTCCTCCAAATTCAGGCTTGACGAGCCCAAAAGTGACGACAGTTACAGGGTTCCGATGACCCGCTCGGATTACCAACATGATCTGCGGGCCCCATAGGGAGGGGGCTCCCGCCTGAGGGAGGCTCCCGCCTGAGAATTCACTCACAGACGAGGCTCCCGCCTGAGACTTCCTCCAAATTCAGGCTGGGAGCCCAAAAGTGACGACAGTTACAGGTTTCCGATGACCCGCTCGGATTACCAACATGATCTGCGGGCCCCATAAGGGAGGGGGCTCCCGCCTGAGACTTCCTCCCAATTCACTCACAGACGAGGCTCCCGCCGAGACTTCCTCCATTTTCAGGCCTGGGGAGCCCAAAAGTGACGACAGTTACAGGTTTCCGATGACCCGCTCGGATTACCAACATGATCTGCGGGCCCCATAGGGAGGGGGCTCCCGCCTGAGACTTCCTCACAATTTACTCAACGATGATGAGGATGAGGATGATGAGTGGTGGTGAGGATGAGTGGTGAAGAGGATGATGATTGATTGTGAATGGTGGTGGCGATGATGATGTTTGAATGAGGATGATGCCGATGCCGATGATGATGATGATGATGATGATGTTCGTGAGCGTGTGAGAGAGTGCGAGTGATGATGATGATGAGTATGTGAGTGACTAAGCATGTGAGAGAGCATCATCGATGATGCTGATGAGGTTGATGATGAGAGAGTGTGAGTGAGTGTGAGTGGTGTGTGTGTGTGTGTTCCTGTTCCTGCGCGGGGTGTCCAGAGAAAATTACTCCGACGGAAGAACCCCACATAAGAATCCTCTGGGCGAATCTGGAAAAAGCCATCACCGTCGTCCTCGTGGTTGGTGAGGCGTCCTGGCTGTCTCTTCTGCGTATATTTCCTCTCGCCTTGGCGCGGGCCCCCCTTCCACTCCTTACGTTGTCCCCATCCTCGCCCCCCTGTTTGTTCCGCGCCCCGCCACC